GACCCTGGGCTACAAGATAGGAGGACCAGGAGGAGGGTTTGGAGGAGTAGGATCATGGATGGAGCAGGAGAGGATGATGATGAAGAGGATCAGGAAGAAGAGACTATTGAGGAGGATGAGGGAGAAGTGGGTGACGATGTTTATGGCGACGGTGTCGGTGCTGTTTATGATCATGATTGGGATGAGCAGGACCGTATGATAGTGATGACGAATGCGGCGACTATTAAACATATCATCATTATGCGGAATTCGACGATTTTGACAGTGATGATGAGGCTGCTGCTGCTGATGATGAAGTCGATGACGATGCTGACGATGATGCTGATGATGATGACGATGGTAGTGGTGGTGGTGGTGATGATGGTGATGATACTGATGCTGATGATGATGCCGAGGAGGATGACGATGATGACGCTGATGCTGATGATGCTGCTGCGGCTGATGATGACGATGACGATGTTGATGATGATGCTGCTGATGCTGATGATGATGTTGATGGTCTTGATAGTGATGCTGATGCTGATGATTCTGATGATATGCGGATGATGACGGTGATGGATGATGCTGATGATGATGGTACGGATAATAATGTTGATGCTGATGATGCTGATGATGATGGTGATGGTTATGATGTTGTTGTTGATGATTGATGATGATGCTGATGATGATGATGCTGATGCCGCTGCTGCTGATGGTGATGCTGATGCTGATGCTGTTGCTGGTGCTGGTGATGATGGTGATGCCGCTGATGATGAAGGAGAATAAGATGATGATGCTGCTGCTGCTGCTGCTGATGATGATGATGATGATGATGATGATGATGATAACGACGGTCAGGATGATGGGAAGACGATGTGGAAAAGCACGGGGAGGAATATTGGGGAGCGTGAGCGAGGATGGAGACGCGGGTATGACGACGAGGAGGAGGAGGAGGAGGAGGAGGGGCACAGGTCGCGACAAGGGGCGGACGTCTGCAGCAACGGCGGCTCTCGCTGGCGCTCCTGGAGGGGGGAACGGAGGATGCATGTTTGACGCCCCCACGTGTCCTCGGGGCACGGAGGGCCTCTCGTGGGGGCCATCTCGGGTGATCTTGAGGGGGCAAGCTTGGGGCGTCTGTGAACCACCTGCGGGCCGTCTGTGGCAACGTTACGGGTCTTCCGGGGCCGCTGGGGACGTTGTGGAGCTTCCTGGGTTCAACAGGCTGCAGGTAGTCGACACGCGCTGAAGCACACCATGTTCCCTTTACTCTTGTCCTCGGGGACCATCTGGGAAGCCACCTTTTACATCTTGGAGGCGTTTCAGGATTTCTTGGAGGTCTGCTTTGGCGATCTTGTGGCATGTTGGGCCGTCTTAGCGACCGTGTGAAGCATCCTTAAGGCAGCTTGGAGCCATCCTGCTCAATCTTGGCGCCGTCGTGGGCATTCGAAGGAGCGACTGTGTGCAGGGTGTGAGCAGATGGTGTGAGGCCCTGCGCGGACTCTTTACGGGTGCAGGCAGACGGGTGCGGGGCTTGTCGCCCTGCTGTGGCTGCCGTCTCTGTGCCTCTGTGCGTCTCCCTGCTGCCCGTCTGCCGCATGCTTGCACGGCCACGTGGTGCTGGACTAACGGGGGCCAGGATCGGGTGGAGTGGTGGGTGCCTCCCTCCGCTCAGCCTCGAGCGCTAGCGTGAATGCTGAGACCTTTTCCTGAGCTGGACCCCCTGGTCGCCCCTCAGGCTTCAAGGAGCGCATTGGACTGTGCCCCGCCCCCCCCCGCCCGTCTACCGATCCCAGCTGCGGGCGCCGTCCCTCGTGCTTCCCCCGCGCTCCGGCCCTGCGCCTCACGAGGCGGGCCTCCGGAGGCCCAGAGCGAGAGGCCGCCGACGCAGAGGTGTGAGGCTGCCTGAGGCGGAGGAGACACTGTTCGCCCATGCTGGCCTCAAAGGGGCCCAGGCGAGGCTGGGGAGACGTTGCAGTCCGTGGTGGAGCTCGTGTTCCGGGTCCTGCGGGATGGCACTGCTCTTCCCGCCGTCCGGACCGATTGCCCCTTCGACCGGGTGCGCGCATCTGAACCTGCAGGCATGTCCCTTCCCGTGTCCACTCGTCCAGCTCCAGTTGCCCGGCCCTGAGCACCCGGCCGTTCTTCTGCATGACACGCACACGAACCGCGATCTTCTCGTGGAGATGGCATCAACCAAATTCTCATACCGCAGTCTCCAGTGCAGAACAGCGTATAGTAAGGATGGGCAGCGAACCGGCCACTCGCACTCGGCAGGCACGTTTGGCTCTGATAGACTGGTGGCCTTGCAAAGGCTGCAGCGGCTGTTCTGACGGTGCAGACAAGCTGGTGATGCTACTGCTGCTGCTGCTGCTGCTGCTGCTGCTGCTGCTGCTGATGATGATGATGATGATGATGATGATGATGATGATGATGATGATGAGGGGAGGATGGTGGAGCGGAGGACCCATCGACTATTGGAAGGAGGAGGATACATGTGACGATGATGGCAATGCTGACGAACAGGATGAGCAGAAAGAGCAGGACCCGTAGTTGAATGCTGATCGTTATGCTTATGATGCTGATGATAATGAGGATGATGTTTGTGGTTTGGTAGCAGCAGGTGTTGGATGACAGTTCTTGGTCCGATATTTTCATTAGAACAAAACCAATCGGAGCATGGGGGAGACAGATGAGAAGGATGCGCAGCAAGATTGGGAGACAGAAGATGAGAGGAGAAACGATCATGAGGCACGGGGTGGTTAAGGTCACGGACCAGGAGCAGAAAGAAGGGGGCGCAGAAGGAGGAGGATGATGACTTACGAGGATGAGCGGTGATGAGCATGATGATGTTGCTGCTGCTGCTGTTGTTGATCATGATGATGCTGACGATGATGTCGATGACGATGACGATGCCGATGATAATGACGATGATGATGATGCTGATAATGATGATGCTGATGCTGATGATGATGAGTTGGTGACGATGACAAATTTGGTCATGATGATGATGGCGATGATGATGATGATGATGATGATGATGATGATGATGAGGATGATGATGATGATGATGATGGTTTAGAGATGCTGATGCTGCTGATGATGACGACGATGATGATGATGGTGGCGATGACGATAATGACGATGATGAAGATTGTGATCATGAGAAGAAGGGTGTGGATGAACGCAATATCACGGGTTATGGCGATTCGGAAGGGATTGAAGATGGGGAGGACGGGGCACGTTAATCGGTTATGGGGAGGATGCTGATAAGGAGGAGTACGACGATCATAATGTTGCTTTCGATGATGATGTTGATGATGATGATGATGATGGTGATGATGATGATGATGATGACGATGCTGATGCGGACGTTGCTGCTGTTGGTGATGATGCTGATGCTGATGACGAAGACGTGCTTAAGTAGGATGCGTATCTGGATGTTGTTGATGATGTTGATGATGGTGCTGCTGATGCTGATGACGTTACTGAAGATGACGCTGCTGATGATACAAATGATGATGATGATGATGATGATGATGATGATGATGATGATGATGATGATGATGATGATGATGATGCTGATGCTGATGCTGATGCTGATGCTGATGCTGATGCTGATGACGATGATGGTAATGATGGTGACGACGCTGATGTACCCAATTGTTATGCTTGTTTTGGTCCGCAACATCCTGTGCTTTCAAATCGTCCTGTTCGCTGTGTTCTCTCACCTCGCTCGCCTCGGTCTCCTCGTTCTGCATTGCAGATAAAACGGCGTCAGGCAACTCACGGCGCGACTCATTGATGTTATTGCAGAGTTCAGTGACCAAGGCGGTGACCTCTGCAGGGGAACCCGCGTATTGCACAACGAATTTTCCGTTCAGGTTGGCACATACATCGGAAAAGCCTTGGTGGTCAGGAAGTTCGGGTCTCTCCGCGAGAATGCCAGTAACACGACCGATCAGCTTGACAACTTCCGCAGAGAAAGGTTCAGGAACTCCCACGGTAATCCGCACTTGGCCTTGCAGTCTCGTCCGCAGCGCTCGCATCTCCTGTCTTAGGTCATCGATCTCGTCACCAAGGTCGACAGAAGCAGGAGGTGGCATCGCACCAGACTGAGCAGTTGGTACGTCTTCCACTGTTGCTGGAACCGCATCGGGAGTATAATCAACTGGAGGCAACAGCGGAAGAAAAACTCAATGGTTATGCTTATGACCTGCTGCTGCTGCTGCTGATGCTGATGCTGATGCTGATGATGACGATGACTATGACGATGACGATGACGGCCATGCTGATGATACTGATGCTGATGATGATGTTGATCATGATGCTGATGATGCTGCTGATGATGATGATGATGCTGATGATGCTGAGGCTGATGATGCTGCTGATGCTGATGATGCTGGTGCTGGTGCTGCTGCTGATCAGGATGATGCTGACGATGAAGATGATGCTGTTGGTGTTGATGATGATAATGATGATGCTGCTAATGTTGATGATGATATGCTTATGATGATGCTGATGCTGATGATGCTGATGATGATGATGATGATCATGCTGATGCTGATTAGGATGCAGATGCTGATGTTGATGATGCTGCTGCTGATAATGACGATGATGCTGATGATGATGATACTGATGATGATGCTGCTGATGATGATGCTGATGATGCTGATGCTGATACTGCTGATGCTGGTGATGCTGGTGCTGGTGCTGCTGCTGATTATGATGATGCTGATGATGAAGATGATGCTGTTGGTGTTGATGGTGATAATGACGATTATGCTGCTAATGTTGATGATGATGCTGATGATGATGCTGATGCTGATGATGCTGATGCTGATGCTGATGATGATGATGCTGATTATGATGCTGATGCTGATGTTGATGATGCTGCTGCTGATGATTATGATGATGCTGATGATGACGCTGATGATGATGATGATGATGATGATGATGCTGATGCTGATGCTGCTGCTGATGATGATGATGATGATGATAATAATGACGATGCTGATGATGAC